TGATGACAGTGGAAGGAGCGTTCTCAGGAACAACAGTGGCGATGGTCATAACGGGAGTGATACAGTGTCCCTCGGCGTCGCAGTGGGTGACGGTCAGAGTGAGACTGGAGGTGACAAGGGGACCCTGGTTGATGTCGATGTTGACGTTAACGTCGGCATGGCTGTCGGCGTTGCTGTCGGAGTGGCTCTCGGAGTTGCTGTTAGAACCTCCGGAGCCACCAGTCACGGCAGGAGAGGGCTGCTCAGAAGCGGCAGAAGAAGCCTCGGAGGAGGTAGAAACCTCGGGAATGGAGGAGGTGCTCTCGGGGACAGCAGGCTCGTTGACCTTGGTGACCCATCCCTCAAGGTTGGCAATAATACCCTGGAGCTTGTCATAGTTGGCCTGCAGCGACTCGGACTTGTTCTCGACAGGCTCGATGATGGCCACAATCTGTCTCAGCTTGGCGAGAAGATCGGTGACAGAAGCAGTAAGGTCTTCGGTGGCGTTAGGATCCTGAGCATCCTGTCTCTTAGCCAGATCTCGTCGAGAGAAGAGACCAGGGAGCTTGCTAGTAAGTTCATCAATAGCAGCAGTGACGTCAGTGACGAGATCGGCAAGCTCGGGGGAGTCGGGGATCTCGGCCACAAGATCGTCGAGAACGTCAGCAACGTTGGAGAGAATGTCGTTGAGCTGGGTAACATCATCAACAGTAATAGGCTTAGGGGTAGGCTTGGGCTCCTCAGAAGCAGCAGAAGAGATAGCGAGGGTGGTGGAGGAAGCAGCGTTAGAAGCAGAGCTGGAGGCGGCAGCCTTGCTGGAGCTGACGACAGGCTTGGCGGCACTGGAGCTGGAAGCAGGCTTGGCGGCGCTGGAGCTGGAAGCAGGCTTGGCGGCACTGGAGCTGGAAGCAGGCTTGGCGGCGCTGGAGCTGGAAGCAGGCTTGGCGGCACCGGAGCTGGAAGCAGGCTTGGCGGCACCGGAGCTGGAAGCAGGCTTGGCGGCACCGGAGCTGGAAGCAGGCTTGGCGGCACCGGAGCTGGAAGCAGGCTTGGCGGCACTGGAGCTGGAAGCAGGCTTGGCGGCACTGGAGCTGGAAGCAGGCTTGGCGGCACTGGAGCTGGGGCTGGCAACCGGGGTAGGATCAGCGATGCCGTAAGGTGCGCAAACAGAACCGGTGGTGAGGTGGAGAGTGCAAACCAGACCAGTGACTTCATACAGAGCAGCATCGATAGCCGTTGTAATTTCAGGAACAGTTAAATACTGGACGACCAAACCGGACAAAATTTGCCATCCTGGTGCTTGTTGCATCAGAACACTGGCGTGTGAAACGGCTGCGTGGTACTCAAAGTCTGACAGGTAGATTGAGAGTAGGCTGGTGGCTGAGGTGAAATCGGGACTCGATTCGTATTGATGGAGGGTATCCACCACTTTACTGAGCCAGGGGGGGAAATCGTGTGCGAAGTCTCCTCCTCCAAGGAATGCCCCCAACACCACATCAACGACATTATCAAGCAAAGGGAGCACGTCATCGTTCATGATAAGGGGAATAAATTGTTCGACTTCGCTCTTGGCCTGGGCCTCAGGTACATTACTCCTTCGGCCTTCGATGACACCCGCAACAATGGCATCCTTAATGGGATTGATAAGATCAGCATTCTTCAGAGAGTATGCTCCCAGCACGCCAAGAGGGGCGGCTGCTAAGATAGCGGCGGCTGATAGTTTCATTGTTGAACGAGTGTGTTTGGATTTTTGATTTCCCTCCAAAGGCCGCTGGTGCCCTTATATATGGCGCTCATGGAATAAACACGGGCATCGAGAGCGAGTTTGAGACTAGCTAGAGTCTGGGCGGAGCTAATATGGTGAGGCATATAGCAGACTAACCACCCAAGACCCCAGATTGTGTAGGTTGAGGTGGCTAAAACGGGAACTAGAGATGGTACGCACTGAGTGTGAGCTTTGCGATGTTTGGGAATGTTCTTTAGGGTGGCTAAACAGCAACATCGAATCGTCGAAACTTCTCAGTCTACCTAGAAGGTGAAAACGGACAACGGGGAGATACTTTTTACCAGTTTTGACCCTTTTGGAGCCGCTTTGATGAATGAGGGTACCCCCCATCCAGGTAACCCACATTAGCCCATATTTAGGTTCCGCTAGGAAGGATCACCCCAGCTATAGAATGAGCAACATGGGGTGCGGGTTTTTGATGCAAGTATCATCACCAACGTTGGGAGGTCTGAACTGTGTACATGGCAGATACGTCAGATGCTGGAGAGTATATAAAGCTGGACAGACACATGGCTCGTTGCACGCAGAAAGGAAAGCTTGGCCAGCAGATACAAACTGGTGTTGTTGATATCACCATCGCCTTTTTTTACCATTCAAATTGTTTGGTATTGTGCATCCACGCTAGTTACCTCTTATGGAAGATCTAAATAGGTCTCCTTTATCGACAACCGCCAGCCGCCTCCTCCGCCTGTTTAGATCTCGCGTTGGTTGGGATTAATGATTTTGAATCGGAAATTCAACCAAGGCTCCCTCTTGTCAAATATTTAGAAGCTGGAGTATCAGATTCCAGCTGAAGACCGAGGTTGGGTACACCGACGAGAGCTCAGTGGATGTCGTCTCTAGAACTCTCTCTCTCAACTACTAGTATAGCTCCGGAATTCTTACCCCCCTTCCCCCCTTCAAGAATGAGCGCTAGATCAAGACACGGGTGGTTAACATGTCTATTGAGAATGTAGATACTCAGCCAGGTCTCGTTAGTTGGGGCCTGGTGGTGTGGCTCCCTTGTTGAGCCCAGCTGTCTTAGCGAAATACGCATAGTGCTAAAAACGGGACTACTGCAATAAAATCGCCAGGGTGCTCTGCTATTGAGGACTGCTACGCGAAAACCAAAGCATGTGTAGCGCCGTGGACACTTGAATAAGGTGGGGAATGCACCAAGGTGTCCTGGGCACTAGGCCAAGTCTGCTTTTAGGCCCGTACCGCACCGCAGAGTGCATCTAGATCGGCCTGGCGTGTTCCGGAGGGGGGGTGGGAAATTACACAATGCTCTGCTATTGAGGACTGCTACGCGAAAACCAAAGCATGTGTAGCGCCGTGGACACTTGAATAAGGTGGGGAATGCACCAAGGTGTCCTGGGCACTAGGCCAAGTCTGCTTTTAGGCCCGTACCGCACCGCAGAGTGCATCTAGATCGGCCTGGCGTGTTCCGGAGGGGGGGTGGGAAATTACACAATGGAATAAACGTGGGAGGAAATTCGTGGGAGGGTGAGACCTACCCGTCGAAGGAATTCTTCGGGTAGCAAGAATGAGCATCTACATTCTTGGCATTGCTTCTTTCTCGGGGGTGTAGCGACGTAGCGACTACTTGTATGTTGTTGTTTTTTGTGTACCGTGAGGCCCTGGTACTTGTAAAGTACAGATAGCTTTGGGCCTTATGTTATGAGCTGTGTGTACTTGTACCGTGGTACTTTGTGGTTCGTACCCCAGATGAGGTGAAACCTTAAATTGCAGCGGTTTGCATAAAATTACCCGAGACGGTGCATGCATGGTCGCGTATCTTATTGTTGATATATGGTTCCCGATTTGGGGTCCCAAGTTGAGCACTTGATGAACAGCACAGTGACGGCCATACTGCCTCCCGAAATTCTGCTAACCATCCTGGAACACGTGCCTCTGAAGGATGTTGCCAATTTTGCCGCCGTCTCAAGCGCTTTTAGACGAGCAGCAGACTCCTATCTCAGCTCCTCCAATGCCCTGAGCATATACCCTTGGCTCACGGTGCCTCCAGAGAGCACGCTAATTTCGCTAGTGAGGTATATTTTCGACCCGGTGACATCACGCAAGAGACTGGCAGCGGCTGAGGTTCTGGCTGACCAGTTGAGACAGGAAATGAAGAGTGATACCCATATCCACCGCCATGACATGACCCGAGAGGGCGACTACGAGATTCACAGGTTTGAAAACGAGTCCTTCAGACTGCCTCTGCTCAAGGACGGCTTTCTACACATCTACTGGCCCGGCGAGGTGAGCAGAACCAAAGACGGCTCCTGGGTGGTCCAAATACACGTCAAGAAAGTACAATGGCAAGGGCCTATCCCAGCCAGCACTCTCAATCTGAACACGACCAACAAAAAGGTCATAAGAGGTGAGTCGTTACTCATCCATACTCGATCAGGAGTCCAGATTCCGTGTAGTACCATCTTCTGCTACGAGACTCTGATGCAGTGCAGCACCGAGAAAGAAGATATTGTCTTTTTCGTCACGGATCTCGGCGGTCCACAAGATCGTCTAAATGAGCTATTTTACGGAGACTTCCAAACGGGAAAGATAGTTAAGCTGTGTCAGACTAAGAGCCACGCTATCCACTGTCCTAGTCGTCGAGGCGAACGACGCTTTCTGTTGAGAAACAAGTACCTGTGGATGCTGGCCTGCGATCCTGGCGGCGAGATGCGAGTGTCGCAATTAGATCTCTTCAAGACGGAAAGCTGGATCTACACCGAGGGGCGAATTGGAATGGGAGACTTTTCTTCTCCGCAAATGGAAACCACAGGCTAATGACAAGGTCTAGACTCCTGTTAACAACTTCAACTAACTTGAGTGGTTACTTTGAAGGAGCTAACGCAAACAGGGTCTGAATACCGTCATTGACTAAGTACCGGGAACCACTATGTCGCACTATGTTGCACTATAATCCATAGATGTTAATAGGGGGCTCGGGAAAAATGCACTATCTCCTTTAAGAATGTACTAGTAGCTAGTTACACTGTGTACGCGCCCGAAAAGGTATTTGTTGATATAGAACCCAGAATCTTGCCCATACTTTCCCCTCATTCTAATAGAGGGAGAGGAATTCAGGTTATGAACATTCTAATAGAGCAAATGTTGTCCAGCATTTTTGCCCCTCACTGCCATTTCAGTGGGGCCTTTGTTGTTGTTGTAAATTATATCCTATTGCAAAAAATCATACTATGTCTCGAACATCAAGACATCCATCTACCTTGAATGTGAAAAAAATTGAGCTGTAGGGGAATTGAACCCCTGGCACCTGCTTACAACCATGGAAGGCAGATATGTTACCACTACACCAACAGCCCGGGAGCTTATCCTGTCACGGTTCAGACGCTAGTCATAAGGTGTTCTGATTAGTCATACAATTTCAAAAAAACAATTTGCAAGATTCATTGGATGCCAATAGCCTGGCTTGCCAGGTATATAGTTGTAATGTATCTTCAGAATAAAAAAACAGAATGTATTTCCCTAGAATCAAAAAAAAAGAATAAAAAAAAAAAACAGTGATGTCACTGGCTAGATCAGTATGACGTCCGTAGGACGTCATGTGTGTGTCAAGATGGAGGTATACTGAGGTATCACGTGAATGTGACGTGGATATGGCATGCGATAGATGATGTTAAGGTTGAGATGCATAGCATCTCTACCTGTATAAATAGCCTCCACATAGACATATGTAGTTAAGTTATTTTCATACAACTTCCGGAGTACGTACTTTTGGTGTAATACTCTGTAGAGTCAGACGAGCGGAGTCCCGCTCGTCATGAAGGAAAAGGACATACCCTTCCGCACTTTAAACCGTTACATATCCAAAAAGTGTGAACTTTCAATTTACACTATAGCCTCAAAAGTCACGTGACCGAAAATTTTCAAATTTTGAAACGTGTTTTTGGAACCAAAAATGACGTAAAATAGCACGGAAAAAAGTGAATATATTAAAAAGGCCTAAAATATTATACCAGCTGTAGATTCTAATGATTTCCTCAATTACATCACCTCTTTCCTTGGCCTCATATTCTGTCATACATTTCACACCACAAAAATTCAAGTTAAGCTTCCAGACGCTCACATTAGATCTTCCAGAAACAAACCACCACTCGGAAACCATGGAAGAATCGATATCTCTTGAGGAGACAAACAGACACCGTATTTCGCTGGGACTGAAGCCCATCCCCATTCCTGGAGCTCCTGTCAAGTCGCAATCTGTCCCCGAGGCTTCAGGAGAGGTTTCTGAAGATGCTCGCAACCGTCTTCGACAGTCTCTAGGTCTGGCTCAGGAAACCAAAAGTCGAGACCAGGTCGAGTATGAGAACTGGCAGGAGAAGCAAAAAGAAGCTACTGAGAGCCATCGTCAGAGTGAGATTGAGGCCAGACTTGCTGCAGCTGCTGAGAGACGAGCTAAACGAAAACGGCTCGCTGGAAGTGGACTGGGAGAAGATGGCGATGATACCATTTCTTTTCTGAAGAATATCAACAAGAAAAGGCCCAAGATTGCAATCCAGCTGGAAGATGACGTGGACGAGTACACTTCCAAGGATCTGGGAGGTATGAAGGTGGGTCATTCTCTGGAGGAGTTTCAAAATGGAGGTGGCGAAGAAGGTATCATTCTTACGCTCAAAGATACCGATGTGTTGGATGAGGATGGCGAGGATGTTTTGGAGAGTGCACAGCTGAACGAGAGCTCCAAACAACGGGCCTCTGACCAGATACGTAAGGGAGTTCAACGCACAGCTTATGACGATAGTGGGAAGCTTGGAGAGGAGCCCAAGGAGGACTTTTTTGTTCTAGGGGAGGGAGGAGTCATCAAGGGAGCATCTGGAGAGGCTGAGGCCATCAAAAAGACCAAGGCCAAGGAAAAAGAGCGGACAAAGGTGTCTTTTTCGTTCCTTAACGACGAGGAAGAGGACGAGATACCCACTTCTGACTACAAGAGAGTGAAGAAGAGCAAAAGCAAGGGCAAGAAGAGCAGGGAGGGTTCTCGACGGGTTAAACTGGAGTCCGAGGAGCCAGAGGATGACAAGCGTCATCTGACTAACAACGTGAGCACGAAGCTCAGTCAGCAAGAGGTGGATGATATGCTGCGAGATGACGATGAGGAGTTCCGACTTTCTATGCGCAAGAATCTCATCAAGTCCCAGAAGAACAGAAAGAAGCTCACTCCGGAAGAACTGGCTGAACAGCTTGCAGCTGATCGAGACGAGGATATGGGAGTTAAGGAGGAAGAGGAAGATGGAGGATTGGTACTCAACGAGACTACAGACTTTCTGACTACGTTGAGAAAGGCCCAGGAGGCCAAGGAAGAAGAGGAAGAGGAAGGTGTCATGGTTGAAGAGGTTGAAGTCAAACCTGAGATTACTGAGCCTACAGTTGATGCTACAGTTAAGAAGGAAGAGGAGGATATTGAGACTCCCCAGGGTGTGGACGATCCGCTGAACGAAGAGGATATCGGCACGGGTGCTGGAGATGTGCTGAAAATGCTCAGGTCTCGAGGAATCATCAAAAACGTGTCCAAGGAGGAGCGTGAGAAGCAAAAGGCGCTACGAGAACAGCGAGAATGGCGCAAGCGAGAGGAGCGAGAGAATCTGCTGCGGGAAATCAGACTTCGAGAGGAACGAGAGCAGCTGGAAGAGGAGGGAGTCTACGAGGGTCTTACTCGCCAGGAACGGGAGGAAATCGAGGCCGAAGAAGAACGGATTCGACTACAGGAGGAGTCCGAGGCAGCCCAAAAACGGTTCGAGAACTACGAGCCCGAAATCAACCTGCAGTACTACGACGACATGGGCCAGAAGCTGGACAGCAAGGCTGCGTACAAGTACTTGTCGCACCAGTTCCATGGCAAGGGGCCTGGTAAGGGCAGTGTTGAGAGAAGTCTCAAGAAGGCCGAGGAGGCTCGTAACCAGGAGCGACTGGCTCACGAACGGACCCAGGCGTCCAGCAACAGCAACAGAACGTCTGCGGGCACTCGAATTGGTTAGAATCGGGTACTCGTACTTGTATATTGGTCCTCAGCTCTACATATGTATATTTTTAGATTTATATGCAACGTGTATAACAATAGACGCTTCTTTGTCTGCTTAGCGCGTGGTGATACGCATACGCATATACGCAGTGTCTATGTTTGGAGGTCTGGAATCGGCAATAGGGGCAAGTAGAAGGAGGGGTGGTATATCGAATTTTTCACGTGATAATGATGATTATCTGGATGGTATTTCTGCCCGATTTCCACAGAGGTGTTTGTAGAACAATACCATTTCCAAACGTCACTCAGCCACACCCTTCTGAGCTGTACCTGCAGTTGGTCCAGGCACGCTCGTGTACGGCTTCAGGTGAAAGTGAAGAAGGGATGATGAATTTGGAATAAATTTGGAATAAAAATAGAGAATAAAACAAGCGATTTCTCCTTGCCCTGACTTTTGTCTGACTTTGTCCTTATTTTTCCCTACTCTCTTTCCTGTTCTTACTGCTCTTACTTCTGCCCTAATCTTCTTCTTCTGCTACGTGCGTGTGTCACATGTTGTATTATTACGGGACATGATTCTGACATTGTAAGAGGTATAGGCGTGTCCTTATCCAGCAAAGAAACGAGTGTTGAAAAAGAAAAGACGGGGAATTGTAGATTAGACGAAAACGTAGATTAACCAGCTCGTCTGAGCTTGCTACAGCACTGGTTCCTGTTTCAGCCGCTCTAAAACAATGTCCTTAAACAGACAGTCTACTTTTGTAGAATCAAAAAAAACAACCTTCGATGTCTCAATGTCCAATGTCTAATGTCTCAATATCTTACGAGAAAGGCGAACTAGTCATGAGAACAGATTGGATAAGAGCGAATATGTGTAAAATCGGATAAGTCGAAAATCGGATATTCTCTGTCAAACCAGTCTTACGTCTCCAGCCACACTGTCACGTCAAACCACGTCAAACCACGTACCTCTAGCCTATGCAGAACGCCAAAAGGCATACTCTAGAGCATTGTTGTAGAAAAGATGATATTAGGTTTACGACTAGGTTGAAGAGATGTCAGCAACACTGCTCCAAACAACACAACACAGCATGCCTTCGGTCGAAGAAAAGTCGTCTACACCGGGCCAAGGCCCCGGACTCGCTCCGCAGGACCACCAGACCAACGGCCACGGTCCCCAGCCCGCAAATTCACATCCAGACGCCCTGGCTCGTCCCACGCTCGAAAACGGACGCTCTTACATCAACCTGGACCATCTCAGTAAAGAGAAACATATGAGAACAGGTTCCACGTCGTCCACGATCCAGGAAGAAGAGCCCAGCACTCGAGCCCGTCGCTCCGCAAGTACCTCCAAACCCCCGGTTCCCATGGCCCAAATCCAGCCTCCAAATCAACAATACCAACAGACCCAGTACAACGCTCCGTTCCAGCCTCCAAGAGCAACCACGCCCAAAAGAACGCCGCTGTTCGACTCGGGCCAGTCGTACTCGCAGCGATTCCACAACCGAACGTCGTCGTTTTCCGTCAGAAGCGCCAGAGCCCGTTCTCTGTCGGCGTCGTCTCAGGAAGCTCTCAAACACCTGGCTCCTCCAGTTTCCGTGCCGCTGGTCGTGTGCTGTCTCATGTGGTACCTGTCGTCGGCCATGAGCAACACTTTGGGCAAGGCCATTCTCACGAAATTCGGCTACCCCGTCACCCTCTCACAGATCCAGTTTCTGGTCGCAGTGCTGTGCGGAGCGTCTACAATCCAACTGTCGCAAATGTACCCCAAATTCAGACAGGCGCTTCCCCCTGGCATGGTGGGACCCCAGGGACTCATTTTCCCGCCCACCAAGGAAATGCTCAAGACGACAGCTCCCATGGGCTGCTTCCAGCTCTCGGGCCACATTCTCAGTCACATGGCAACAGGCATGATTCCCGTGTCTCTGGTACATACCATCAAGGCTCTTTCGCCGCTGTTTACCGTGGCTGCATACAGACTACTGTTCAACGTGCAGTACTCGCCCTCCACGTACCTGTCGCTCATTCCACTGGTGACGGGAGTCATTCTCACCTGCTCCACATCCTTCCGGGCCCAGTTCATGGGCATCATCTACGCCCTGCTGGCAGCCCTGGTGTTCGTGTCGCAAAACATGTTTTCCAAAAAACTGCTCACTTCTGGAACCACTGCTGGCCCTGGAGGTCCTGCTTCAGCTACCCATACACGCAAGCTCGACAAGCTCAACATTCTGTGCTACTGCACGGCTCTGGCCTTTCTCTTTACCACGCCTCTGTGGTTCTTTTCCGAGGGCTGGACGCTTCTCAAGCTCTTTTTCCGAGGCGAAGCACTGGTCAAAGACTCGTCTC